GGGGGGGGGGTGGTCGGAGAGATTTAAAATGTTGTGGTCCTGAAAATTGGCCCCACCTGGGTTTTTGCTGGCCCCCCCCTGACCAAAAATCCTGGCTACACCTCTGCACGATGTCTATAAGGATAGCGCCCAGAACAGCAAGGAAATAGGTTTTGCATCCTAAACCAATGTATAAATTCTAAAAATCATTTTTCTCTAATGAATATATGAAAGCATATCAGACGAACGCGCATCGTCAGTTAGACAAATTATATAGAGTTGCAAGCACAAACGTCTTAAATAAGGGGTGGTTTGGCGACTAAGGAAAAAAACGACAACCGAGAAAAAACAAAGCTCAATTTATTAACCCAATTTATTAAATTTTAATTTGTTTTCGGAAGTTGCTTCGTGTGATAAAATCAATGCGTGCATTTATGTCGGTATGTTTATTTGCATCATTTACTTGGCCCTCAAGAGAGCCCCCAGTTTAAGGGGGGGCCCAGTTTAAGGGGGGGGGCAGTTTAGGGGAGGGGCAGTTTAAGGAGGGCCCCCAAATTTGCAAAAACTAAAAAAAAAGAATTTTGAACGTTTTTTGATATACTGAATAATGGTATGAGAAAAATTTTCTAAACCCAAATTTTACATTTATTGATCGAAAAAAAGGATTTGGCCCATGTTCTAATAGGAATTTGTCCAGAAAAAAATTTTGAACCTTAGTTTAGCAACGTTTTTTTGAACCTTTTTTTATTTTTTAGCCCCCCCCCCGCCGCCAACATTTTCGGGAAAAAGTAGGGCCCCCAAAACAAAAATTTGCCCTGCGCCCCCGAATTTCTCTGATAGACCATTGCTTTTAGAAAGACCCTGCATTTAAACAGATTTTATTGAAAATGTATTAGGTAATAATATTTTTGTTTGTATGGTGCAGTAAAGTTTTCTTCCACTTCGTATATCTATAGTATATATTATAGTTCACGTAGTATATATACGTTTAGTATATATACTTTTATATACATACAAAGGACGTTATAATTCCATAGTTTACACTAAAGTAAAATGCGACAAAGACTTCATATGTACACACATATATAACACTCGCTCGATACTATATGCAAAATTGCACTAAGCAAGTGTTCTTAATCTTGGTCTTTTGCACCCAGCCTGGTTTCCAGGCATTATCACTCTGTAGAGTTTCGGCCCCAAGAATGCAATGGCATGTCCCACTGTCCCAATTCGGGGCGCTTCAAGATAACAGAGAGGTTCAGATTTCCACTACCGCTATCATGACGGAACTATTAACCAATCAAATTAGTCTAGTCTACCCGATTAACCAATCAGACTGCACACAGAGCAAATGATCGAGGAAGCGGCATGATCAGTAGAAGTCCAATCTAAACCTCTCTATTACTCTGAAATCGAGCCGTATTATTGAACATGGGACAATGGTGTAATATAAAACCGCCTAAAAATTTGAAACCTAGGATTTAATGTTTCGTTAAAACTTTCGTATGGAACTATTCATAGAAATAATAGATATACTATATCTATTTTTTCTGTGGGACTATTATAAAAAATACGGGGAAAGTTATTTCGGATAGGTCTAGGAGTAGGATAATTCAAGCTGTAGTTCATTTGACATTTATAAACACACCACAGTCACGTGGAGAAGTGACAACGAATTCGGTAGGCTTGAATTCCAGCCGATAAGGTTCTTGGCACACACCGTTAGAGGGGACTCGCAATTCGGCGGAGTATAGATGCCAAATTCTAGTCTTCAAATTCTTGAAAAATAAAACAAATTTTCTCTTCCTCAATAAAATAAATAGTGCTTCATAAAATGAGAAGATTTATCTCAAGTTAGCTTGTTCAATATTAATTTATATTAGCATGTTTCAATAGTGTGGACCGGTTTTTGCCTTATAGTGTTTATTTTTTATCTTAGATTTAGCAAAATTTTCCGATTGTTTGTTATCAAAAACTAATTATTTATCGGGTACTTTTCAGCAGCAAATCTTTCATTGATTATCACCAGACTCACCAGTTTATAATCTGACATTGTTTACTCACTGTTAGATGTTGTGTAATTTGTGTTTACTGCATAATTGCAGGTAAACACAAATTGTAGCCAAGCGACCATATGTCGTCCTTTAGTACTAAGCTGAAACGACTTTTTCCGGTCAATACGCAGTTATTAAAATACAATAATACTATAGAATCAACTATTTATTTCAAGATCAGAGAGCACAGAGTGAGGACTTCGTACAAAACAGTAAGTCAATATTATTGTTCACACTTGTACAATTTAGGTTAAAGAATACGTAACGTCACAATAACCTCTCAAACCTTACCTACACTTTTTTATTTAATATATTCAATTGTTCATGCCGAGTTCTTATAACACGTTTATCATAATAGGGTGTCCCGAAAAATAGGTGCGTTCCAGATTTTTATATAGGCTACAGCTGATTATTAGTTGGCATCGAAAATTGATCTAAGAGATGAATTTTGGCACTATAAGATTATTAAATTTGGTCGATAAAAATTTGACAAAAAATATAGCATGGAACAAATGTTATGGCTGTTTAAAATGTGTTTATCAAACCTCCTTCAATCACTTAACCATGCACAACTAATGCATGATTATTTCAATGGTCAACTGGATGAGCAAAACCGTTTGTTTTAAAACGGCCACATATAACATTGGTTCTACTATATAGTCTATAGACCAATTTTAATAGTCTTGGTCTCAAAAGTCATCTCTTAAATTAAATTTTCAATGTCCACTAATAACTAGCTGTCACGGTAAAACTCTGGAACACAGCTATTGCATTTTGGGGGGATCGAACATCCTGTATATAAAGCAGTTCAATTACAATAGTATCTACCTTCTATACAAACTTGCTAATATTCACCACAATCTCAAGTTCTCGCAGTGTAAAACCTTGCAAGGAATGTATTTGTATAAAAGATTACTAGATATAAATTTGACTTAGCCATGCATACACAAGACACACAAACTTGCCGTTTTGCAATTACATGTCTGTAGGTTGAGTGAATTTAATTTTTTTGTCAGAATAATCACCATGCATATCTCATCGCTCCTTGTCTATATCGTGTGGATTTCGCTGGGTCCCCTGTGGCTGAGTACTGAGTCAAAGGCAAGTTATTCTATATACTCACTTTAACCCAAACCAGACAAAATGTTGGTATATTCACTGTATATATTACTCCAGTTGCAAAGATGTATGCATGTTATAAAACATATAGGCAATAGTCAGCTGGGATACCGCACACCATTTATGTTGCAGTTAAATATACGTAATGCTGGATATACTTTTCTAGAAAGTCCGTCTTCGGGGTTATGACCCTGGAAAATGTAATAAAGGAAATCATGGCAAGTTAGTCATGGTGAAAGATCGTGACGATAATGACAAACTGTTGGTTTGTGCTGAAGAAAATAAAGTTTATCTCTGGAAAGCAACTGATGGTAAGGTTTCATATTGCATTCCTATACAAGCTGACAAAATTTACAAACTAATCATGATTTTGAATACGAATTTTTACAAGGTTCCAACCCAACGGGAGAGTATTTCAATCCTGTATACGACTGTTCAGATGCTCTCAACAAAATCTCTGGGGCAAAGGATGGGTTTTATTGGATCAAATTATCTGGAAATGTTCCAAAAAAGGTACTTCTATATATCAGCCCTGCTTGCTGCAATTTATGATCATAATAAAGTTTACGCCTTTACTCTACAGCACTTTTTGTTCTAGGCGTATTGTGACATGAGCACTGACGGAGGAGGCTGGGTGCTAATTGGTCGTAAAACGAACGCTGTCACGTGGACAGTACCATCCAATAACAAGCCAGTTGAGCCATTTGGCAAACCTCACTGGTCCAGCTCACTTGGTGACGCTTCAATCGTCGACTTCCGGGTTCAAGTAGCAACAAAAGAAGATTTCAGTGCAACCAAATCTCATTGGTGAGTACATTATTAACATGAAAATTTCAGCTGTGCAAAATGTTGTTTTGTGTTGAGCAGTATTTTTTCAGTGTTTACACGCAATCGTAACCGTTTAGTGTTGCTCACATGTATTAAGGTCAGATTTCCCGTACCAATTCAATTTTGCTTTATACAACATGAAGAAAACATTAGAGCTGCAAGGGAAATAAGTCTCTTTTATAGTAAATTATGATCATGATGGTCATTATATTGTGGATATGTAATAAAAATTATAATAATAATGCTCATGGATTATGGCAATGGTGAATGGTGATATCATGAATATGTACGATAATATGTATGATGAGCGCTTTAAAATTATTTTCATAACTGCATGTATAGGTCATTCAGACTAAAAAACAAACGTCCTTTAAAGAATCTTTTGATGCTCAATGAAGGAGGATGTGGTAGATTATGGCCTGGAATTGGAGATATTTCTTATGTTAAAGATCTTCAAACTGAAGAAATTGTCACAACAAAATTTCGCTGTTCACAATTCAGCTCTCATCATTCCAAGTCAGATGGTTATGGTTGGGTAAGTTTTTTAAGAATACAAATATTTCTAAATTCGAGAATTAAGAAACTTTGAATAAACGCTGTCAAAATTATACCGATTATACATCACAATTCGTTATAGGACATGTTGAACAGTTGTTTGAACAGTCCATGTTCACCTGGCTTTGCCTTCCACAAAAAGTATCCAGTTCAAATGGACTTTTCAGGAGCTTTTAGGTAAACATAAAAAATAATTACTAGTGTTGGTGCTTTCAACGTAGGCACATATCACGGTAATACAATGATCTAATGCTGGACATTGAATCATGTTTTTCAGCTATAGTGCGTCTGGAACTATCACTTCGGGAATCACTCATGAGTCAACCTCATTTGTTGGCTGTGAAAACCACAAAGTAAGTTTCTTTTCGAGTCTTGGTTATATTTAATTATAATCCTGGGTAACCGGCTTAAAAGCAAAACGTCATTAAATAATTAATGAGTAAATTGGCCAACCGAATTACATTATCTTGCTCGCATATGATACCGGAGAGTTTTTGAAGTATCTTGATCCAGCCCTATATATATATATATATATATAGACTCCTACAGCAATGCATTTTTTAAATAATTAATTCAGTCCTAGGACTTAGTCAAAATTAAATTCGTTGACTCTAATAATGATCTATAAGAATGAGATTTCATTTCATTTCATTTCAAACCCTAAAACCCAGATTGAATGGGATGTTCTCCTAGTTAGCTGGAATAAATTACACAGACCTGCAAATTTGATCACGGACACCAATAAAATTTAATATAATTTTTCTTACCACTTTAGTGTTGTGGTTGTTTTGGTCCTGTTGGTGGCAAGAAAAATTACTGTGGTACTGATTGCAGTGTTAAAAATGGTGGAACTTTTGTGAAGAATGTCTATACATGGTTTTGGGTGAGATCATCACTACCAAAAAGAGTCTGGAACAAATGTATGGAGTATAAAGTGACTGTTTCTCAAGGGAAAGTGGTTTGGTACAAGTTATATAATGGAAATTCTATTCCAGTGATGGTTGGTTCTCACTTTTCGTTCATTTTTTTCTATGATGATAACTATTAACAATGCTAAATAAACATTGGGTTTGTGGATTGTTTTCGTTAACTTTTGAAATAGAAGTAGTCAATAAAGGATGGAGCCTAAAAAAACATAATTTTTTGTGTCTTTTTAGGGTCGATGTGATCGGAATGAAATTCTTCTGAACGATGGTGTAAGGCATTGATATGCTAAACACAGTGTAATGAATATAATTGGAAAACTACCTCCAACTTTGAAGAGAAATTTGAAGAGAAACTTGAAGGCCCGTTCCAGTCTTTTCACGCATTTGAAATCGCGGTCAAACATGAATTATATTTTTGAAAATCGGCTTCAAATTTACACAAAATGCTTTTATAACCAGTTATTCTTCATTTTACTGGCTAAACATAAAACATAAATGAAGCGTAATATTTTTTCATATTAACACTGGCAGGTCAATTGAAACCATTGATCTCACTCATTTATAGAACTGGACAAACTAAATATGCCTAGTTCTATTCCTTATATATGCTTTACAATCCTTTACAGATTGTTGTTGTCCCAGATAGGGCCACTGCCCAGAAAGTGCCGCCCGTGCCAGGGTTACTGGAATACCGCAAGGACACCCAGAAACTTTATGTAAGATCCAATCAAATATGGAATGTGATTGATCAAGAAAATAAGGTAACATTGACTTTGATATACCCTCCAGTTCATAATTAAACATCCTGCAGACCTGCCAAGTTTGGAAGACCTAAAAACGTAAGGTTTAAATTTTCCCATGCCAAAAACTGGATATTTAAACAAAAACCTAAATCTTAAGACAACAGTTAGACAGTCGGAAGTAGAACGTTTCGCCCCTCTTACAAATATTTCATAAATTATCATATTCACATTGACTCGAAGAATATTGTAGCAAAAACTCAGTCAATTTGGGAGTCAGCTACATATCCAAAACTTTATTTCAGAATACACAAGAAAACCAGTCCTGGAGATCCAACAATGAAATTTTATGGGCAAACTCCCGCAAATTTCCAGCCTCTCCGGTATTTGATACTTCTGAATCTATTGAATCGAGCGAGAAATTAAAAAAATCTTGATATTCAAATTGAACATTTTTCGCAATTGCTAAGCCGTTGGGTCTATGGAATATGAATGTGGAACGATACTTAGTTGAGAGAACTTAAGTTTAGGGAACTGAAAATCGTGCGAATAAGTGCCGCCTTACAGAATACTTTATATCAATATAAGGCTAGACTTTTAAAAGGGGCAACGGGGAATTGGAGAATGGAAGAATGGGGAATATCGGGGAATGAGGAAATGTCTCGGGGAATATCTCTTTATAAAGGGGTAATATGATACTCCCCGATATATTCCCCCATTCCTCGAATCTTCGTTCCTCCGTTCCCCGTTCCCCCTTTAAAGATAGCCTAAATATAATACCATATGATGTCTTTGAGAAATGAAATTTTGAAAATATCGGAGCTTCTTCTAGATTCAACAGAATGACTAGCCTCGTTTTGGTGCTTTTTGCACATTTCAAAGGCTATGATTTCGCTTGCATGAATTGTTTTCAATCGTTAGCAGTCTTTGCCAACTATCGGTATATTATGAACTAAAAATATAAACTAAGATGAATCTAGATGAGGCCTGCCCTGCAGCGGGAACTCGCCCTAAATCGCCTTAAACCGCCTAAACTCGCGTTAAATTGCGGCTTACAATTGAGCGAGTTCTCTTAAATTGCTTAAAATCGCTTAATGAAGTTTAAATTTAGGAGAACAATGCGGAAATGATGAAACCAAGGTTGGAACAGGTTGAAAAAAAGGAAAGTAAAATTATTTTAAGATTTCAGTTGTACTTAGGACAGCTAGTGAGAAAGCAGAATGAGGCATTACAACGACACTAATATCTTGATATTTTCTACCATTTAGCTTAATATAGAATTTGCGAAACTCGAGAAAAATCTGGCTGAACTCAAAACACAGTTGGGAAGGGTAAACAAGACTGTCAACGCCGATCATATCAAGGACAAAGGTGGGTAATACGCTTATTTTATATCGTCATTTAGTCCCTTAAATTCAAATTATAATAAAAATTCAACATTTATACAATGTTATTTGACTTCGATAACTTATAGTATGAAGTATGAACATAAAGTATGAACATGTGGTATAGTTATACTAAGATTAAAAGATCTAATTTGGTTGTTTGATGTGAGGATTTCATGGTAAACATTTATCTATAGGCTTCAGATGCAGTTGCTCCCTGCAAACCTAAGCCGGACAGTATAATCACGGGGGGGGGCAATTTTGTTAGGACCAATCAGTTTTGTAATTCTTTCAAAACGGAGTCGTACGTGTAACTTCTTAATTTATTCTATGACATAATATTTCAAATCTGTAGCTTTCAGACTTTCATAAAACGTGTCTAAAATTCATTAAATAGCGTCTACTGCTTTGAAAAATGTTTATCCTAGGTATTTTGCTCTGAACAGTTTTTGCAATTTACATCTTGACAACACATTCTTATTCCATTAGTTCAACCCACCTCAGGCAAACCTATCTCGACAACAGCGACTCCCGCGACAATTTGTTCAAGTTTGTACAAATCCGGTCGAAGAAGAGATGGTGTTTACACTATCAACCCTGATGGCCTTGGATCTTTCCAAGTCAGATGTGATATGCAAACAGATGGTGGAGGGTGGACAGTGTTCCAAAGAAGACAAGACGCAAGTGTTGATTTCTATCGTGGATGGCAAGATTACAAAAATGGTTTTGGTGATCTTAACGGGAATTTTTGGCTTGGATTGGATCGAATACGTCGTTTGACAAAATCAGGACAAAATGTTCTAAGAGTGGACTTGATGGATTGGACTAATGACACAGCGTACGCAAAGTATGGATCATTTTCTGTGGCGTCTGAGTCTAAAGGTTATAGACTGAAGCTACGTGGTTTTTCAGGTAAATATATAATTTGATAAATATAAATTTTATACAACACAGTGCAGTGACGAAGCCAGGGATGTGGTGAGGCTTATATGCCTTAAGGTGATGTTACAAAAGGCAACTTTTGCTGCACTTAGCAATCGCAACTTCGAGCACAAGACAATGTTATCCGAAGTCACGTGAAAAATATCGGCGGAGTAAAACATGGGCCATGCCATCGAATATAACTGGAACGCTACCTCCAACATTACCCCCAACATTACCTCCAACAGGAAATTTGAAGCCAAACTACAATCTTGGAAAAAATATCTGTAGACTTTTCGAAAATAGACCCAAATTTGAAAACATATGATGAAAATGTGAGCATTTTTGAATTAAAGCGGATTTGCAACACATGTCACCTAAATACCAACATTGTATAAGGGGGAGGGGGACAAAGTTTGAAAATTTAAGACGTATACTAATTTTTTTCCAGGATTGTAGAAGGCCAGTGTCAGCCTTTTTACGCATGCGAAGAGCGCGGTCAATCGGTCAACATGAATATGTATTCTTGAAAACTGGCTTAAAATTTACAAAAACGGAAGCTTTTCAACAGCGCTCAAAGCTTTCTATTGACACAAATAAACACATTTATTCAGGCCGAAAACGTCCTTGTAGACGTTACGTTTAGTTTGTTTTCTAATATAATCGTTTTAATTATTGAAAGAGCATTTTTCTGCCATAAAAGTGTGCCGCGAGAGAATCGCGGGACATAAACACGCGTGTCTTGATCTCCAGATTTGGCTTGAATATAAGATAAGCATCAGGCATGCAGTTTATCTGAAAGTATAGCGTTGCAGTTATATTAATTTCAATGAGCCATAGTAACATTTCTTAGTGATTCCGTTATGTATTTAAGTGTATGTTTTACTAATCTATGAAATTATAAAGGTGACGTCGTAATTAAAACTAAAATCACGGACAATTTAAAACATTAAAATAAGTTCAAAATGGTTAGTCATTGACAATTGGACAATACAGAAAAAATGGCAAACATTTTGTTGATATGATGATTAGACATTTTAAACTTTTAGTAGAGGCTGAGAGTATCACATAATTCTAAAATGCCAAATTTTTAAATATGTTAAAGACTTTTTATATCTAAGGTAACGCTGGTAATTCATTGAATTATCACAACGGAATGAAGTTCTCTACCTACGACAGAGATAATGATCAAGATGGCCGAAACTGCGCTATGTCCTTCCCAGGTGCTTGGTGGTATAAATCCTGTCACAACTCCAACCTCAATGGTCCCTACCTCAAGGCAGGGATAGATCTTGGAAAGGAATAAATTGGTATATTTGGAAAAAGGACAAAAGATCTATGAAGAAAACAGAGATGAAAGTACGTCCTGCTGGATTTTAGAAATCCCAGGAACACGTTTTCTTCTCAAACACACACTGAACAATTGTTTAGTTACTTAATTCTACGCGGACATAAATTTATACATCAATGCTTTTGTCCTACACCCAACGGATTTAGCGTTTATGAATAATAGTCTAATTAAAAAGTAAATTTTAATTTGCAGGCTTTATACATCCTCGGTCCCAGGGGGCTTTATATGAATAATAGTCTAATTAAAAATAGGAACACCGTACGTACATGTATCTGCGCATGTCAAAAATCACAATGAAAGCTTAGACTTATTTAGATTGTTGTATACATTAATTGGCTGACACTTTCTTTTATTTAGTTGTAGAAAAATAATATCTATAGAAAAGTTATATTTGTTATAGTAAAGAATATATTTTCAATCATCCGACTATATTACGTCATTTTTTCATTGCTCGAAATTATTACGTAACTCAAGTTATAAACTACTTGTTCGCAGGCAACCTTATCCTGGATTCCAAAGCCTTCGACAGTAAATAATAAATTGAAACGTCGCGAAGGCTCTGGTTCAACGGAGAGATTCTTTGATTAAACCGCGCCAATTACAAAACAGAATTAGTGGTTTTCAGAATCTGTACTGAAACCACTAATTCTGTTTTGTGATTGGCGCGGTTTAATCAAAGAATCTCTCCGTTGAACCAGAGCCTTTGCGACGTTTCAATTTATTATTTACTGTCGAAGGCTCTGGAATCCAGGGTAAGGCAACCTATAAAAGTACAAAATTACCTATCTTTACTATTAAATTATCTATCAGTCATTCCCAGTAGGCCAGTCACAGTAATCCGAATCCCACTTGCCCGGTCCAAAAATAGGCAAAACCTCTTCAAGTCCCAAATACGCTGAGTATTCTGATGCCTACCTCCCCTACACTTTCCGCACATTATTTGCCTTATAAGAAAAATATATGCGCTTCACACACTGTTTCCCGTTAATAAATATCCGTTGTAGACTAGTTACGTGTTCAATTGCGCTTTACAGTTGGACAAGTTGGCTAATGCTAATTGCCTTCACTATTTTGGAATTAATCATCCACTAGAATGTTCAGACTATAGAGCTAGCTTGAAGTCGTTGGCTGACTGAAAATACTGACAGGCAACTTCTTTACCTAAACTTCTGTTGACGCCGACCTGTATAAATGGGAGAGACATCGCGGGTCTGGTGGTGCGTCCTAAATACTAAAACATGTATGATAACTAGTACCCAAAAACTGGGTATAGATACTTAAACTTTGGTATCCCTGTTGGATATTGATGAAGTAATTTAAATTTTAGACCTTGCTTATTATGCATCTTTAATCTCTATGACTATGCTGAAACTCTACCCACTATTAATGTTGCGCATATGTTATATTGAGCGATCAAACCAGTTCACCGAATAAATTCACTTTCATCAATCATCATCAATCAATGTTATATGATATTCTTAACAATTTGTAAAGAATCCCAGACATATTGGTCACAGACTCATAATTTGTGACAAAAAGGGAAAAGCCCTGGGAACGAGGTTGTCGGCAAGTTTATGACATCAATCATATATGTTTTGGTGTTCTCGCTTGATATGGCAACGCAAATGCTTTACTGTCATGCACTATTCAGCACTCTTATTTACGATCTATAAAAAATCTGACATACACTAACATTCCAACGAATGGCGCGGGCCAATCACCGGCATGCAAACCACAACGGCGAAGTCTACGACTCTTTACATCAGCTGAGAGTAGGATTCAGAAAAGTTAGCAGTTGATTCTGACTTTCCCCGCTTTTTCTAATGACGTTTTGAACTCAAAACAATGCGACTCGTGGCAATACTGGCGTATTGGTGATTTGGTGTAACCTCACTCGCACATGAAGAGAGAACATTCCTGGTCATTATCTATTTAGAGAACATTTCTCCTTTCCTACGAAAAACTAGATAATGTTGAAACCTCTTCCAACATGTCAACAGCGCTACAGTAGATTTCCAAGCTCTGATTTCCAGTGGTCACCTCAATGGTGGTCACACCAACATGACCGCCATCAACTTGATTTATGCATAGAGGCTGCACTATCCAGTACCAGATTTGAGTCAGTGATGAAGCCCAAGCTAGATATAAAATAATTTAACTGACTGCATTTCGATTAAGATGATTCGAGGGAAAAGTTCTGCCAATGACCTATTCCTTGAAACTGTAATTTTGCCTTACTAGCTACGAGAGCGTGTGCGCGGTACAAAACAATGTGTTTCAGCCCGCAATCACCTGAGGTACGGTAGTAAGTATTCTACACAAAACACTCACCATGATTAAAAATTCCACCAGATATTATTACTAATATTAGTCATTTTGTACTGGTATAGGACGTATAGTACATTAATTGACAATATAGTGACTATTGAATATTAGTGTTAGTACTTTCATATTACAGTTATGATAATAGTATAAATAAAAAGAATAGTTTGGGTATTGTAAATTTTGCAGGATGTTTGTCATCAAGTTCTGAACTGATTATTTATCGGCGCTTCAGAGCAACTCTTTTATCACCAAAGATACATAAACAGATAATCGTACCCCACTCACTCCTGGATGTTGTTTCATTGCCAAATTTAGCCAGGTCACTGCATCATCCGGTCAACATGAGGTTGAAATACAAGACTCTTGAATCAACTGTTTATATTAAGATCAGAGAGCACAGAGTGGAGACTTCGTATACAACGCCGGTAAGTCAATTTATGTTAAAGGATACGCGATGTCAGAATTATAACGTTTCTAGCCTCTCAAATTTAACATCTCAAACCTTACCTACAGGCTACACTTTATCAGTTCACTCGGTTTTCATAATACGTCTATTTAACACAGCTTAATCAGTTAATCTGACTTTGTCCACCTATTACTACCAAGCGTGCAAATGCGCATGATTCTCGAGTTCTGAAGTGTAAACTCTGAGAGCAATGCCTATGTATTGTATATAAAAAAGATATAAATTTTACTTTGCCATACACAAGCTTGCCGTTTTGCAAACATGTCTGCCAGTTGATTGAATTTTAATTATTTTCTAGGATATTCACCATGTATATCTCAGTGTTTGTTACCTTGGTCGTGTGGTCTTCACTCCGTCACCTGTGGTTGAGCGCATCAGCTGAATTGGAGGTAAGTTATTTCACACTCAGTAACTTCCAGACGAAAGGCCTTCGCTCGAAACTTCAACGTTTTGCTTGTCATGTTTTTTTAGGTAATTGAATCACTCTCAATCCATAGTTTTCTCATGTTATTCTATACTGACTTGAACCCAGGCCAGACATAATATTGGTACTCACAGTCACAAATTACTCTTTTCAAAGACTTATGCATCTTATAAAGCATTGGCTATGAGCTTATGATATAGCTGAAATATACACACAGATTATATTGCAGTCAATTATACGTAGTGGATATACTTTTCTAGAAAGTCAGTCTTCGGGGTTATGATCCTGGAAAATGTAATAAAACGAATCATGGCAAGTTAATCATGGTCAAAAATCGTGAGGATAATGACAAACTTTTGGTTTGTGCTGAAGAAAATAAAGTTTATGTCTGGAAAGCAACTGATGGTAAGGTGTCATATTGCATTAATGTCACGGCAAGCTGACACACTTATCAATACTGTTTATTGCATTTTTTTTTACCACTATAGCCTTGTTTCCATGTTTGCTTGTTTTAGTATGACAGGCGAACATGAAGGTTATATCCCCATGTTTCTTCGTGCATGAATATGTTTCTCTTTGATCTTGAGCCCAATCAAAAACCTATCCTTAACCCTATTAATTGTGCACGAAACATGAGAAAATAGCAACATGAAAACGAAGCCATTGCGGAAAGAGTGCAATAAGGGACCGGTCATAAAATAACTGCTATGGTGGGCTGGAGTGATTTGGGATGGGCCATGGAAAGTCTTTCGGCAGTTTCGATCGGCCGTCAATATTTTTGGTATGTCCACGGTTGGGCCACCATGTTAATTATATATTACACAAAGATATTAGTAATAAAAGTAAACAAAACTATCCAAATTATCAAATGCAAATGATGCTATTGAAGCCAGTACTTTGTTTTATACAACAACAAGAAGTTGTTCGAATCACAGCAAATACAACCAGCTGGAGAGCAGCTCAGTATCGTAATTGGTGATGAATGTGTTGGTCAAGCTTGGTGGAATTACGTATGTCAATACAGTGCCGGTGTATATTTACAATGTTCATACCTGCAAGTTTTTTTATTATAAAATTGTATTTTCCCAATTTAGATTGGGTAGGTGGGTCATTAAATAAATTTGGTAAGATTAGATGGGCTTTGAAATTTTTATCTACATCCTAAGATGGGTCACCAAACTAATTGGCAAAATTTGTAATTTACCTCCAGCCCACCCTATGACCCTAGCAGTTACTTTATGACCAGTCCCTAAATAGTACACAGTCGTCTATTCACAAACTAATCATGATTTTGCGTACGAATTTTTACAAGGTTCCAACCCAACAGGAGAGTATTTCAATCCTGCATATGACTGTTCAGATGCTCTCAACAAAATCTCTGGGGCAAAGGATGGGTTTTATTGGATCAAATTATCTGGAAATGTTCCAAAAAAGGTACTGCTATATATCAGCCCTGCTTCCTGCAGTTTATGATCATGATAAAGTTTACGACTTTGCTCTACAACACTTTTTGTTCTAGGCGTATTGTGACATGAGCACTGACGGAGGAGGGTGGGTGTTGATTGGTCGTAAAACAAACGCGGTCACGTGGACAGTACCATCCAATAACAAGACAGTTGAACCATTTGGCAAACTTCATTGGTCCAGCTCGCTTGGTGATGCTCCAATCGTCGATTTCCGAGTTCAAGTGGCAACACAAGAAGATTTCAGTGCAACAAAAGCTCATTGGTGAGTACATTATTAACAAGAAAATTTTACTAGTCTTAGGTTTGCTTTGCGAATATTAATGTTGTTTTGTGTTGAGCAGTATTCTGTTTAGTTTTTACACCCAATCGTAACCGTTTAGTGTTGCTCACATGTATTAAGGCCAGATTTTCCGTACAGTTAAGCTAGAATTCAATTTTGCTTTATAAAAAAATGGAATAAATATTAGAGTCCCAAGGGGAGTAAGTTTAGTTTATAGTCAATTCATGGACGTGATGGTCATTGTGCATGTGGATACGTAATAAACATAATCATCATAATCATGGATGGAGGTAATGGTGATGTCATGATTAAAACATCGTTATAATTAATTAGGCAAATTGTCCAATAACATGAGCATATTTGACCACGTGCAGGGACTTTATACCTGATATAAAAAATATATGCTCTACTTAATATTAATGAATTAAGTAGAGCATATATTTTTTATATCAGCCATCCCAACGGAAATACCGTTCTATTCATTAACGCAATGAAAATATTAAGTAACATAAGACTCTATACATGCAAAGGCACATGTAGTTTTATATAAAATCTCATGTTTGTACAAAGTTGAACTGTATGAACTAATATATATTTTGTGTTCAATATATAGACCACAGTAAGACTTTTTTAAATGTTTATTTCATTAACAAACGACGTTTCGGAGTAGAACACTACCTCGACCAACATTACGGACAAAAACCTAAACTGTCTGTTAAGATTTTAAAAAGAACAAAAGGATCTGTAGAACGGAAAATTACCGAAGCATTATTCATCCAAAAGCTTAATCCAGACTTGAATGGAAAATACGAACAGTTAAATGTCTTAGATTTCGTAGTTTAAACATTAAAGACAGAATTAACAATTTCTAATTTTATTAGAATTAATCGGACACGTGCACGTAATTTATATGCTTACGCAATTTCGCACGCGCGAATAACGGTCGCAATTTAACGTTTATGCATGCGCATGTTAGTTTAAATTCAAATTGTAATCCTATTAACTACCTGAAGATGGAGTAAATCTCCGAAACGTCGTTTGTTAATGAAATAAACATTTAAAAAAGTCTTACTGTGGTCTATATATTGAACACAAAATATACTAATAACATGAGACTTAGGGAAAGTTCGTTCCTAAACATTTTGAACTAATATATACGAAGTCTACATGAAGATTAAAGACAAAGAGATCGATCAAATACATACGAAATTGGCTGAGGAGAACTGCTAAATGTCTAACGGTTTAAGAACCAAAGTTCGTTAGTTCTGAAAAGAACTGTTCAATGCACATTATTAACACAGCGAACGTAAAACTACTTACATTATACATCTATTACTTTGGAAATCAGCTCGAAATGCCTAACCTTAATTCCTCTTTTTGCTTGATCATTAACAACACTTTTTCCATGAACATCTCGCTTGAAACGATCGAAATATCGCATATGCATGCAGTAAATCTTGCATCTGTTTTAAGCTTTGAACCACAAGACCGGTGACCACGACTAATTTGCATGCTTAACCCGACTCGTAGGTATTTGCTATTGTATACGTAGGTTTAATTGCACATCGTTTGGCAGTTAATTCAACTGTATTCTGCAGACAATACATACCAATGCTCGTGGAAGTAACGCTATTGTAGTCGTAAGTTACGTTTTAAGCCGGTTTTATTAAGGCCTTTTCCACTAGGCGGAATTTTTCGCGCGGAGCGGAATTCTCTTTGTCTTTTCTAACTAGTTCCACCCGAGAATTCACAAGACAAAGAAAAATTCCGCTCAGCGCACAAAATTCCGCCATTAGGCGGAAAAACATATAATTAATAATAATTTATTAATTTGTACCGCGCTAAAACTATAGAATATTCTAAAGCGCTTAATTACATAAAATAGGAAGCTAATTTAAAAATTTCCCTACGTTATTTACACAACATTTAACTACTATAAGCATCTATTTAAAAATATTTAAAAACAAGAAGTATTATTAATGTACCCATCTCTATACAAAAATGTCTTAAGATTTGTCTTAATAAAAGAATCCAACGAAGGTGAAAGCCGAATCTCACACGGTACTAAGTTCCATAGAGTAGGTCCTGCTTTCAAAAAAGGCACGATCACCAAAAGACTTTCTACGTGTGCTTGGAACATGAAGAAGCCCTAGTTCGTCCGATCTCAAAGAGTAGTTATTACTTTGTTTATAAGTCAACATGTCACGAATATATTTGGGAGCCAATCCATGTAGAGCTTTATAAACCAACAGTACGATCTTGAATATAACACGATATTTAACCGGTAACCAATGCAGTCTCATTAATGTAGCCGTGTAATATGATCAAACTTAGGTACGAGACATACAACACGAGCAGCAGCGTTTAGCACTTTCTGCAATCGATTTAATTGATATTTTGGAATTGCATACAGCAAAGAATTGCATACAGCAAAGAAATGCAATAATCCAAATGGGATGTAATAAATGCATGAACTAAAATTTTGGTAGCATCGTCAGTTAAGTATTTCCTGATTTGTTTGATATGGCAAAGGCTTCGAAAGGCCTTGCTGCAGATTTTGCTAATATGCAAATTCATGGACATGTGAGTATCTAACCAACACCCAAGATCACGAACAGCGCCTACTGGAGAAATCAATACTCCTCCTACCCTCAATTTGTCAATCGATACCTTGGATAATTGCTGACGAGAGCCAATAATAATAAATTCTTGTCTTGCTAATTTGAATAAAAAGACGATGTGCGCACAGACATCCAGTTTCGAAGCTCATCAATACAATCTTCCATTGCTTTAACAGCTGACTCCTGATGCAATGAGTTCTGAGGTTTAAAAGAAAGATACAATTGTGTGTCATCTGCATAAGCATGACGACAAGGCAGATGTTTAGAAATAATCTCAGAAAGGCCAGACACGTAAAGTAAAAATAGAACAGGACCCAGGCAGTTGCCTTGGGGAACTCCAGTAGCAACCATAAACTCAGAGGACTTACACCGATCAATGACAACTTGCTGCTTTCTATTAACCAGATACGATCTAAACCACTGAAGTGCGCTGTCCACTACTCCAAAATCATTCTTGAGGATATCAATAAGAATATTATGGTCTATAATGTCAAAGGCAGCACTCATGTCGAGCATAACAAGCAACGTAACCTCTTGGCGTTGTCCATATTAATAAGTATGTCATTCTGCACTTTAAGCAGCGCAGTTTCAGTTGAATGGAACTGACGATATGCTGATTGACTGACAGGCAGTGGTGCATTTTCGTTACAGTGATTAACTAATTGCGACATGACAACTTTCTCAGCCAACCGGCATAAGCTAGGCCATTTTCCATTGCAGTCGCTTTGCCCGCGCGAGCGAAGCGACCAGTTTTAATCACGTGAAAAATCAGTCGCGCAGGAACGCCAAGAAAGTTGAATGTGGTTCTACTGTCCGCGAGCATTCAGTCGGACAAAAAATGCACAGGATAGATAACTACAGAGAAAGTTGAGTAATGTTCGCTTCGCCCGCTCGGGCAAAGCGACTGTAATGGAAAATTGCCTTTATTATGGCCGTTCGCCTTGGATTTAAGCAAACAGATCTCCACTGCTAATGAAGAATTACAAAAAATGTGCTCTAAGAACGGGTTTGATTTTATTAAAAACAATAATATTGATGCTACATGCTTAAATGGCGGCCTGTTACACTTGAACTCAAAAGGATCCGCATTCTTGGCAACAAATTTTATTAAGTTCCTAAGGGGGAACATTCCAGCTCCATCAGAGTATCGCCAAAGGAAGAGAGGGGAGGATTTTCAAGGTCGCCGGACATATCTGAATCATTCACTAGAGGACCTACTGAGACTCCTATTACTTGCTCAGAGGACCGAGTATTAAGTAATGATTACAATCGGTGTGACCCTTCGACAGGTAAAATAGATGAATCTAATAATATATTTTCTGATTTAGATTGTTCTAAAGGCCTAAAAATGGCAAATTTAAATATTAATAGTCTTTTAAAAAGTATCGACCAGCTCCGTATCATTATGCAAAATAGCTCTATTGACATTCTGGCAATTAATGAAACAAAAATTGACCATTCAGTGTCTGATGATGAAATTAGTATACCTGGATATTATCATATCCGTAAAGATAGAAATAGGTATGGTGGGGGAGTGTTATTATATGTGCGAGAATCTTTACCATTTTCTGAACGAAATGACTTATTAATATCTGATTCGTTAGAAATGCTATGCATTCAAATTACGAAACCACACAATAAGTCATTTCTAATAGTTACATGGTATAGACCGCCAAATTCTGAGGTTAGTCTCTTTAATGAATACGAGACTTTTCTTAGAAAATGCGACTTGGAAAATATTGAAGTAATAATAATGGGGGATCTGAATTGTGATACCATAAAATGTCCTCCCGAAGCTCACACACGCAGACTACAATTTCTATCCTCACTTTACCAGTATAGACAACTTATTAATGAACCTACAAGGGTAACAAGAACATCAGCAACCTTATAGACTTGATATTGACAAACAAAGAGGAAAATATTTCGAAATCTGGTGTTATTCATCTTGGAATATCTGATCATAGTTTGGTTTTTGCCGTTAGAAAATATTGTGTCACTAAATCTCGGCAAAAGACAAGATATGTTCGCAATTTCAAAAGATTCAATGCCAATAACTTTCTTAATGATCTTTCCCAGATGCCCTGGGAAAATGTGGCGCTTTATGATAACCCAAATGTTTGTTGGCGGGTATGGAGATCCCTTTTCCTACACGTCCTTGATTGGCATGCGCCCCTAAGACTGATGAGACTTAGAGGAAATTCTATTCCTTGGATTTCCCCTGATATCAAAAATCTGATGAGGGTTAGGGACTCTTACAAGAAAATGGCTGTTAAAAATAATTCCCAGATTCACTGGGAGAAATTCAAAGAAATACGTAACAAAGTCAATTCAGAACTAACTAAAGCTAAAACAGCATTTTTCTGTAACAAATTTGAGAACTGCGCACAATCGAAAGATATGAAACATAGTTGGAAGTTAATTAATATTCTCTTAGGTAAAAACAAAAAATCAAATAATATCTCTCAACTTAAATGTGATGATGTTGTGATTTCAGATGATACTTTGAAAGCTGAGGCGTTTAATGACTTCTTTGTTAACATCGGGGTAAATTTGGCTAATGAAATTGAGAACGATTCTCCATGTACGAACTTTTCAGATGATGAAAATTACCACTCTAACTATTACTCTAATATAAATTTTAAGTTTTCTGAAATTAGTATGGATGATATTATTTGTCAATTACGTAATCTTAAAATTTCAAAGTCTACCGGTATTGATAACATCCCTGCTATAGCTCTTAAATTGTCCGCGGAAGTTATTGGTCCTTCATTAACATGGATTTATAATCTTTCAATCAAAACTGGGATATATGTTGATGAATGGAAAAAGGCGTGGGTAATG